AGGAACGGAACACCTGGAAAGTTGTCCCCATCAGCGTGGCAAGGAACAAGACCATTCTCACCGAGAAATGGGTCTTCCGCATTAAATCGAAAGCAGACGGCACAATTGAGAAATTCAAAGCACGCTGGGTTGTGCGTGGATTCGATCAGGAGCACGGACGGGACTTCACTGAGACATTCGCCCCGGTCAGCCGACATACCTCACTTCGAATCCTCCTCGCGATCGCCGCTATGAAGAAGAAGAAGCTACGGCAAATCGATATCGCCAACGCGTTCCTCTACGCACCTGTCAACGCGAAAATCTTCGTCGAGCTCCCACACGGTACCCACGGGGAACCTAACCAAGTCTGTCAACTGCTGAAATCACTCTACGGGATCAAGCAAGCTCCGCAGCTATGGCAACAGTACTTACACGCTCGCCTCACTCGCATCGGATTCCGCCAACTGCCTCACGACCAAGGGATGTACCTGTCAAGATACTAGCTTAATAGGTAGTTGAAAGTTCAGGACGGTCTAGGATTAGTAGCCTAGGCCAAGGAGATCGAGTGGTTTGTGCCAAGGGTATCAAGAGAGTTGGGAATGAAGGGTGTTCACTATAGGTTTGCAAGAACATATAGCATGTGAACAAAGAAGGTGCACCACCTAACAAAGTTTATAATAACTACACTTACTACAGCTAGAGGCAGGTACATATATAAATTCTGACAGTACCGACTCACCAAAGACACCGACTACATTCTATTGATCGTCTACGTAGATGACTTACTCTACATCGGCTCTACTGACGACATCACCACCTGGTTCGAAGGGGAGCTACAGAGGGACCTCACACTCACGGTCTCCTCTACCGTCACACAGTACCTCGGCTTAAACATTCGGGAAGAAGAAGGCGGGATCTACCTCAACGCCGCTAAGTACGCCGACACCATCGCCAAACGCTTCGCGCTCACACCTACCACCATCTCTACGCCCTACCGCTACACGACAGGAAACCACAACGAAGGATCCTCTCTACTCAAATCCGCCGGGATACGCGACTACCAGAGAAAGCTGGGCTGCCTTCTCTTCGCAGCCGTCACCTGCCGCCCAGATCTATCCTACTCCGCAAGTCAACTCGCCACCTACCTCAAAAGACCTGAAGTAGAACACCTGGCGGAGTCAACCGCGCTCTCCACTACTTTGTCAGTACCTCAACGATCGGTCTGACCTACTACAAGAACACAACTACACCGACTAAATTAATCGGCTACGTCGACGCCGATCACGCTGGCGACTCAGACAATAGGCGCTCCCGCACTGGCTACATCTACCGCCTCGAACCTATCGGACCGATCTCCTGGCAATCGAGCAAGCAGGAACTAATCGCTCTCTCGTCAGCTGAAGCCGAATATATTGCACTCTGCTCAGCTACCAAGGAAGGACTCTATCTTCGCGAGCTGCTGGAAGAAGCGAAGTTAGCCGAGTTACCCAACTTCACTCTGTTCTGCGACAACCAATCTGCGATTCGCATCGCCAACAAAAGTGGATTCGCGAACAGAACGAAGCATATCGCTCTGCGATATTTCTTCGTGAAAGACGAGATCGAGAAGGGGAAACTTGAACTATCCTACTGTCCCACGTCCGAGATGGCAGCTGACTACTTGACCAAGAAGCTCGGAAAACAGAAGTTCGAGTACTGCATGCTGCTGACTGGACAAAGCCACGTCACCATCAGCGACACTCCAGAAGTGAAGGGGAGTGTTGGGAACAAATAATCTTAAGCGCCTCTGTCGTGTCGAAACACCAAGACACAAGCGAAGCAGAGCATATCGAGGCACCAGCGAGTTAACCCTCGGAGGTTGATGTAACCGCTGGAGGTTACGCGAAAGTCAAAGGTCAGCGACCTTTGACATGACAAATGCAGCGCGACACCAAGGACACACAACTGACTCGACATTGAGCAGTTGCCCGAGTCGCACTATATCGAACCGCAACAAGCAACAGTAAAGTAGTTATAATTATGTCTCTTCATATTCTCTGTATTTATATATATATTCTTGTATTTCTTTGCTTTAATCAACTTACTTTGCCCTCACATACTAGCGCAAGGTGGTTCAAGGACTTTACTTAAAACGCTTCCGCTACGACATTACTTTACTCAGACTTTAACTCTACCAAAGATCCTAAGGGGCACTCATCCAAAATGTCTAAGAACTACTACTCTCTGAAGATTACTGGCATGGGGAGGGTGGGTGGGAATTGAACTTGAGAGATTGTAAAAATGAGAGACGTGGGTGGGGGAAGAATGACCCCAGCCCACATTATATATTCAGAGAAGGCGAATACCGCGCTTCGACGATGCGAGGAATTGCGTTACAGTCAGCTTCGCTTTCACAATACGCAAATTTGAAAGCGATAAACGCTTAGAATTTTTTCATGTTTACATACGGTAGGAAAACTGAGACACACGACTTTCAAGGGCATGTTTGTACTCAATGCTGATTGCATCATCAGCCAGAGATTTGCCAGTTCAGTCGATTACTAGACCAGTGCGACGCAAGGCGTGCGGGGTACTTTAATATAATGCCCCAAAAGTGATGTGTAAGGATTGTTTGCACACCTATATATACTGCAAAGAAAGGGTCGGATCAAGTGATCCTACCCTATAAGCTAAAGCAGCACTAGTAGGTATGCACCTGCTGCCCTTAGTTCAGATATTGGCATTGCAAGGTTTGTTGGCGGGTTGACATCACGGAACGTGTAAACCAATGGTGGTCTTGTCACCATTTCAACAGGTCCTGCAAATACAACAATGACCAAAACATTGTGAGGCAGAAACGAGAGAATAAAAGAGCTGAGAATGAAAGAAAAAAGAAGCGCAATAAAAAGGGGTACAGGGAAGGGAAGGGGGGAAGGGGGGCGTAAAAGAGAGGGTGATACCAGACCAGTGCGACGCAAGGCGTGCGGGGTACTTTAATATAATGCCCCAAAAGTGATGTGTAAGGATTGTTTGCACACCTATATATAGTGCAAAGAAAGGGTCGGATCAAGTGATCCTACCCTATAAGCTAAAGCAGCACTAGTAGGTATGCACCTGCTGCCCTTAGTTCAGATATTGGCATTGCAAGGTTTGTTGGCGGGTTGACATCACGGAACGTGTAAACCAATGGTGGTCATGTCACCATTTCAACAGGTCCTGCAAATACAACAATGACCAAAACATTGTGAGGCAGAAACGAGAGAATAAAAGAGCTGAGAATGAAAGAAAAAAGAAGCGCAATAAAAAGGGGTACAGGGAAGGGAAGGGGGGAAGGGGGGGGGGGGGGGGGGGGGGGGTAAAAGAGAGGGTGATACCACATCAAAAGACCTGCACTTACCAGAGTCGGCGCGCATGCATCACCAACAAAAGACCCGCCACCGCCAACCCCTCCCCCACCCATATCCCCGAACCCTCCCCCGACCCCCACGCCAAGCCCCGAGCGAACACCGCGCATGGGAGCACACACAGAGGCTGGTGTCGGTCCGGGTGAGGGGTTTGATACTACAAGATAGAAGACACTCACCAGAGTAGGCGCACACGCATCACCAGCAAAATACCCGCCGCCGCCACCGCCATCCATATCCCCGAACCCATATCCCCGAACCCTCCCCCGACTCCCCCTCCCCAGACTCCCCCTCCCCAGACTCCCCCTCCCTCCCGAATAGAGGTAAGAGACACCCAATTTGATCAAGCGCTCACCAGAGTAGGCGCACACGCATCACCAGCAAAAGACCCGCCGCCGCCACCACCACCACCTCCCCCTCCCCCACCCATATCCCCGAACCCTCCCCCCACTCCCACGCCAAGCCCCGAGCGAACCCCGCGCATGGGAGCACACGCAGAGGCTGGTGTAGGTCCGGGTGAGGGGTTTGATACCACAAGATAGAAGACACTCACCAGAGTCGGCGCGCACGCATCACCAGCAAAAGACCCGCCGCCGCCGCCCACTCCCCCACCCATATCCCCGAACCCTCCCCTGACTCCCACGCCAATTGCCCTAAAAGGAAGGGAACAACGACTCACCAGAGTAGGCGCACACGCGTCACCAGCAAAAGACCCTCCGCCACCGCCGCCACCCCCTCCCCCACCCATATCCCCAAACCCTCCCCCGACCCCCAAGCCAAGCCCCGAGCGAACACCGCGAATGGGAGCACACGCAGAGGCTGGTGTAGGTCCGGGTGAAGGGTTTGAGGTAAGGGAGAGTTGCAGCCGGGAAGAATGCTCTGAAAAACCCAGTGATGTGGTGGGCGGAGGAGGAGGTGGAGGAGGGGGAGGAGGAGGGACGGTAGAGGACAGAGGGATGGATGGAGGAGTGGAGGAGGTTGGTGGCAGAACGGACGAAGCATGCCGTGCGGTTGGACGGAAGGAGGTTTGGGAACCGGACACGTGGCGGGCTGCTATTGGTGCTGTTGTTACTGCTGCTGCCATCTCTGCTACACCTCCTGCTCCTGCTCCTGCTGCTGCTCCTGCTGCTGGACCTATAGGCTTGTGACCCCCCATTCTTCTGGGCACGCCAACACCCCTCATATCCCCCCTCATGCCTTCACCCATGCCCGCACCCCTCATTCCCCCACCCAGACCTTCCCCCATCTGATCCCCCAACGCATACCCTCCTTCCCCCACCCCTTCCCCCACCCCTTGCCCCATGCCGGTCCCCTCCAGCCCCCCGGTCCCTGCTCCTATGATCCCATGCTGCCGACCCCCCATCCTAGGGTGGTTTCCCTCCATGACCTGATGGCCTAATGCCCCCCTCATACTAGGGTGGTTTCCCTCCATGCCCTGATGGCCTAATGCCCCCCCCATCCTAGGGTGGTTTCCCTCCATGCCCTGATGGCCTAATGCCCCCCCCATCCTAGGGTGGTTTCCCTCCATGCCCGGATGGCCCTCGAATGCAGGCAAACCTTCCATGGGTGGGATTGCATCATGCATGAGAGAACTTGCCATGTGTGAGGAGCCCATGTGTGAGGAGCCCATGTGTGGGC